CAATTGAACGTGATGCTTACTGGACGTCTAATGGTACCATCCTTCAAAAGTTCAGATTGCCACCCTTTGAGCAAAAGTGAGATTCAGATTGAAGCTGGAAAAGAACATCTGTGACCATGTTGAAAGAAGAAGAGAAGTCGTATGACGAAGTTAGATTGGAAGAGCTCCTGACCACTTGTGACTGGCCCGTCGGGGAGGACCCAGCAAAAGACTACGACCTGCTTTTCAGAGGACTGAGAGCCTGTGGTGAAGGTGCCTCAATACCTTGAAAGAGGAACATGGAACGAATTTCGAAAGACACCAAGGATCTGTTAGAGAGGAAGAGAGCACTGAGGCTGGACCGACTGCAATACATCTCGAACGACTGGTAGCCAATACTAGTCGCAGAACAGCTTTACAAGAATCTTCGAAAGTACAGGCAATCGAAACTTTTAAGAGCAGCACAAAGAGATGTCTAAGGAATACTGCAGAGACCTTCTCAACCACTATGTTCCGCTGACAACATTACCAAACGAAGACGGGACTTGCACATAGTACCCGACAAAAGATGGAATCGATCACGGCGACTCTACACCAATCTCTTCCGCTCATCAAAACCCGTGCAAACCCCATTATCTACTGGAAAATAGCACCACGGATTCTACCTGCTGAAATACGCGCCGCAATCCAGACCATGAAGGTAGCCACGGTTCCGGCTGGACCACTTCGGCCGATCTCTTACGAGGTGGAGGACATCGTCTACACAAGACACTTGCGGCAACCTAAGGTCTCACCTTTTAAGGAAAGGATCCCCTACCAGTGGAGAACCTCCCACGATCCTCCTTCATAAGAAGGGCGATAGGGAGGATCTTTGGTTTAGCGTTCAATATGCATGCTATTGTGCTTTACAAGCTCTTTACGAAGATTGTTCTCACACATACATCAGTGACACTGAATGAAGCTCAATGTAGAACAAGCTGGATTTCGCAAGGGATTCAACTGCGTGAATCACATCCAAACGGTTTTGAGGAGTATCGAGGTATGTCAAAAGCATCCCTACCTCTCGTCCTAACCTTCGTTGGTTATGAGAAAGCGCTTGACAACGTCGAGACTTATGCCATACTGTCAGCTCATTGACCAAAGGGTGTACCATCTTACGTGCCGGCTGCACAAGAACTGCTCTACGAAGTTA